GCTCGGCATGCGGCGGCGCTCCGGCCGCCCCGTCCTCGCTGTCACTACGCCGCGCCCGCCGCTAAGAGCCGGCCGGCTCGGCATGCGGCGGCGCTCCTGCCGCCTCGTCCTCGCTGTCACTGCGCCGCGCCCGCCGCTGAGAGCCGGCCGGCTCGGCATGCGACGGCGCTCCCGCCGCCTCGTCCTCGCTGTCACTGCGCCGCGCCCGCCGCTGAGAGCCGGCCGGCTCGGCATGCGGCGGCGCTCCGGCCGCCTCGTCCCCGCTGTCACTGCGCCGCGCCCGTCGCCTCTCGGCCGCCTCGTGCGCGCAGTCACTGCGCCGCGCCCGCCGCCTCTCGGCCAGCGCGGCGGTCGCGCAGCGGTCCCACGCGTCGCCGAGCACTCCCGTTGCGCCCGAGAGTGCCACCCCGTCGGTCGCGTCGCAGCCGCGTGCTGTGCTGCTGTGGTGGCTCTAGAGGTATCTGCACCCGTCCAGGCGGTCCTGAACGGTGCCACGCCTGTCACTTATCCCAGGCGTCCCCTTATAGCGGCCGTCCGTCAGACGTCAGTGGCCTCGTCTGCTACGCCCGGGGGTGCCGCTCCCGTCCGCTGTGGTCCAGCTGGTCCACAGCACTCAGCGCCACACGAGTCCTCCCTGCGCCCGTCCGCCGGCCCGGGGCGTCACGGGTCTGACGTGTCCCGGCTCGCGCTGGCGCGGCGGGCAGGCTTCAGGAGCTGGGTGTTGCCGGGCGACGCCCCATGTGTGATGTGCAGGTCTGAGTTGACCACGGGTGGTTACCCAGCCCAGCCATTCAGCTGCAGCTATCGGGGATCGCCGGCAGCTTGTCGGCGGCCAGCGCCAGGGCCAAAACTCCGCGCGTCCAGCCTCTCCTCGTCTGGCTGCGTGGCGGCCATGTGTCACGTGCCTGTGTCCGGCAGTCGCCGTGTGACCGTGATCAGCTCCGTGACCGCTGCCGGGCTCTCGCTCCGTGACCGTTGCCGTGTCCTCGCTCCGTGACGACTGCCGGGCTCCCGGGTCCAGCCCGGTGGCCTGCTGACCAGAGCGTGACGTCGCGCATGGTGTGCTGAAGACCGGCCCGGACCGTGCCGCCCAGTAATGGTGGTGACACTCGCGAAGGTGGCCCGTGGCGCGTGACCTTTGTCCCAGTGCCGGCCTCTGTTCTGTGCTGTGCGTCCCCGCTACCGGACGTGGCGCGGGCGCAAGTGTCCCGCTCGAGGAACGGCCAGTGATGGTTGTTTGGGCTTTTTCTCTGTGACGCGCCTTTTACCGGTGTCTGTGGGCCTGCGCTGAAAATAACCCCCCTGGGCTGCACGATATGGCACCAACTTTGGGAGGATAGCTCTGTGGGCTGAAGGTTCGCTTTCCAGGTATTCATGGAGATTAGATATGCCTATGTGCAACTGGTTGACGAGAATCCCTCGTGACACATCTCCGACTCCGATTGTCCGTCTGACAGTCGCATTCTGCAAGCCCTGCAGCTATTCCGAGAGTGACGGCACGTATCAGCCCGCGGCCTGGCCTCGCCGCGCGCGCCGCGGTCACTACGCACCGCCCTGGTGCACGCGCACTCCGGCCGAGGCCGGGCGCACCCACGCGCGACTCGTATGCCTGTCACGGCCTGAAGGGGGCATATCGCGGTCAGCGCGGCGTGCGCCGAGGAAGTGGCGGCGGCGCGCGGCCTTGATGCGGCCGCGCCGTTTCCAGCCTTGGCGCGTGATGGGCGCGTGCATCCATCGCGCGCGCTCGCTTCCGGCCACGGGGGCATCGGCAGGCCGGGCCGCACGTGCCGCACGGTTGGGGCCCTGGCGTTGGTGTTGGTGGCGGGGTCGGAGAGGGGCGCTCTTTGTGGTGGCGTCGGCTCGCGCTGGCATCGATCGAGCGCCGGCTCCACGGTCGCCCAGCTGGCGGCTGTGACGCACTGGACCGAACCGGCGAACTCTGTCTGTAGGCTGCCTTGCCAGTGGGGAGACGCCGCCCTGTACCTCCCCCACTGGCCCGATCCTACCAGTACCTCCCTCCCCCACCGGCCCAATCCTACAGTACCTCCCCCCCCCCACCGGCCCGATCCCGGCCGGCTGTTTACTGGCCCCGTTTGTCGGCGCCAGCTGAGTGTGCGGCTGGGGCCGACATCTGCGGCCTGTTGATGTGTCCTGATGACGTCCCCCCTGCACACACATACACACACACACACACACACACACACCCCTCCGCCCGGCCGGCCGACTGTCCACTCCAGCGGGCAGGTGGGCCTCACTGCCCGGCATCGAGCGCCGGTCGGCGAGGGCCCCTGTCCGTACCGGAGCGCTGCGGGCTGTCCACTCCAGCGGGCAGGTGGGCCTCACTGCCCGGCGTCGAGCGCCGGTCGGCGAGGGCCCCTGTCCGTGCCGGGACGCTGCCGTGGACCGCCGCCGCCGGCTCCCGTGGCCTGCTCCTGCGGGCGCCGGCGGCGGGTCGCTGCGGCGGCTGCTCGGTCAGCTGCTCACGTCATACCCGAGCCGAGGCCCAGGCTGCAGACTGTGCGATAACGCCACAGTGATCGGACCGCCCACCTGCTGCGTACGGTGCGCAGCAGTACAGCGGGGCGGTAACGCGTACCGCGCTGCAGTACAGCGGGGCGGTAACGCGCACGGCGGTCTGATCGCGGGTGCTTTCCTCGTCCTGATTTCCTCGTCACAAGGTTGTGCAGCCATAACAGGAGGGCGTTGATTTGCGTCGGACGCTTGCACCCACGCCTGCGTGTGGGCGTTGCATTGCTGATGCCGCTGTTTTCCTGACATTGGCCTTCGTCAGTGCGAGGGGCTCCGTTTTCGCCGTGTCTGATGACTGGCCGACACCGAAGCCCCGTGTTGACGGCTGGACTGGCGTCGAGCCGGTATCTTGATGTGGCTGGGGCGGGCCGCGGCGCGACAGGAGACCGAGCCTCGGCGCGCCGCTCGGGCTGCGACGCGACGAGTCGGCCGCCTCCGTCAGCGTTCAGCCGGCCGGAGGCAGGCCGACCGCCGGCCCGCGCGCCCTGTCCGGTGACGTCTCCGGTCTCGGGTCGTCACGTGCGCCACGTCACCACGTGTCGCGGGCGTGGCCGAAGTGGAGGGATGCTCTTGACCGTCCCAGAAGGGGGCAGCAGAAGCGCACCGCCACGTCCGTCCGCGCACGAGTGCTGCCTTTAGCATTTTGCACTGCTGCTGGCGGGACAAACGCGGCGCGCGGTGGAGCTGCACAGCTGTGACCAGACTGCGTCGGCCGCATCGGAAGGGGCCGAGTCGGCCGCATCGGAAGGGGCCGAGTCGGCACAGACCCGGAAAACGTTGGCATCACCGGCGGACAAAAACGTCCGCCGCTTGATGGTCGCGGATGTCTGGCAGGCGACCAAAACAGATATGCGGGCAGCACTGGCGGACGTTGTTGTCTGTTGGCGGCGCCGTCCCAGCGCAGGCTCCTGTGCGCCTTGTCCCCGATCCTTGTGTGGAGACGACGGATTAGGTACTGTTGACTCATCGTTTTTGCTGGTCGGTTGCAGCTAATGCCGCTGCTTTTTGCGTGCGCCTCCTTGTCCGAATGCACGGATTCCATCTGTTTGACTCATTGTTATTGTGCTCCGCCTATCACCGGTAATGCTGATGAGACTTGTGATAGACGTCCTGATGTCGTAATGTCTCCGAGCTGATCAGGCCTGTACGGATGCCTTCGCAGGGTCAAGGAGGGAGTGGGCGAGTGGTCAGTCAACTCATAACAAGCATCAGGTTTTATCAAAACTCCAGGCAAGCAGCTTGCTTAAGCTGCGACGACATTTGGGACCTCTTTCCCGTGTTGAAGCGGTACTGATTGGTCCTTGTGGTTGTCGGCAGCTGGATTACCAAACAAGGCCAGGGCTGAGTCATTTCGTCGCCGGGTAGAAGCCGCGTTATCGGCGTGAGCCCTGATTCACGTTGATGGAATCACGATGCCCACGTCGTCAAACACTCCGGTGCGTCAGACGAGGACGGCCGCCAGCGCTCGGTAGCAAAGACAGGAAGACAAGATAAGCCTCCTGATAAATATGCTCGGAGCCTTCCAAAACAAGCCAGCGTCTGCGGTATGCCCGGGGGCAGAGCGGCGCGTCTGCCACGTCCCTGTGGGAAGGGGCAGACCAGTGGTCCTTTGCTTTGGACTGGAAGGTCCGGCTGCCTCCACATGTGTTCGATGGGAGTCCCGGAGTACGTCATGCGTGCGTATCTTATTGGGAGGGTCACAACCTCAGCGTGCCGTCCTGCCCGTGCCAGCGCGGCGGTCCGGTGCCGCTTCTGACTGCGCGTCTGGCGGGGCGGGCCGGGCGGCCGGATATGTGCCACGCCCGCCGACCGAGCCCAGCATCGACCCGGACGGGGCGGTCGGCCGGCGGCCTCCATTCATCCCGCCACGCCACCGGCGAACGAGCGGCAGTGCTGGAGGTCGCCGGGGTCATCCGGCAGGTCGCACGATCACTCAGCGGGCGTCGTGTGTCTTCGTTTGGAGCAGAGGCGTGGTACTCAGGGATTTAATCCAGTGTAATGCGGCGTGGTGAGGAGAGGATAAGACCTTCACGAAGAAGTGCTTGTGGAGGGAGATATCCAGATCGCACTGCGGCGGGTGTGCACAAGCGAATAAAGCCACCGCTGCCTCATCCTTGGGCGAATTGGGAGAAGTGTCTGCGGTCGCGGTTCGTGACGGACGGCTTGGCTTGAGAGTGCCGTGTTGGCGGCGGTGCTCGTCGCCCGGTGCGGGCGCACCGGACCGGCCGGCCGGCGCCCGGTGCGCCGCTGACGTGTCGGCGGCGGCGGCGCCTGGCCCGGAGCGTGCGCGGCCGCCAGCTGCGGCGGACGGCCGGCCGACGCCGACGACGGCCGCCGACGGAGGCGCGCGGGGAGAGCCGGTGGGCCGATACGGCCGGCGGCCGGCGCTATCGCGGCCGGCGGGCCGGCCAGTCGTCCGCCCGGCGGCGCCGCGCCGCCACACGGCCGCTGACCGACGCCCGGGCCCGCAGGCGATGCCCGGCTGGGAGTGCCCCGGTGGTGCGCGCGGCACGCTGACGTCATGGAGCAGCTGAGCCTGAGCGGCCGTCCGTCGCGCTCGCGCAGTGTGTCGCCGGCCCCGCTGCTGCCGCCGCTGCCGCCGGCCACCCTCAGGTGAGTGAGCAGCCGGGCAACTGGCTGAGAAGCGCCACCTCTCCCCGTCCACTCCAGGTCAGCAGTGCCCATCGCGCGTCTGGTCCTCGTTTACTGACCATCCCACTTGATCAGCCAGCTTCTGGCCAGTAATGCCCGCCTCCGGTCCAGTCCCCAGGTCATCCATCGCCCTCCCCCTCAGGTCAGGGAGTGTGTGTGTATCAGGTCCGTAGTTTCCCATGTCAGGTCACCGACGATCTTCCCCGGATCTGTAGAGCGTGTTTGTGCATGCCATTGTTCGCCCACACCCGCCACAGTTCCCTTCCGGTAACTTTCCACCTCGCAGCTCAATAAATGTCCGACCCGGCCATACCCCAGTTCAGTGACCGCCCACCCCATCCCCGCACCTCATTTCAGTGACCGCCCACCCCATCCCCACATTCCAGTTTAGTGACCGCTCACCCCATCCCCGCACCCCGGTTCAGTGACCGCTCACCCCATCCCCGCACCCGAGTTCAGTGACCGCCCACCCCATTCCCGCACCCGAGTTCCGTGACCGCCCACCCCATCCCCGCACCCCAGTTCAGTGAACGCCCACCCCATCCCCGCACCCCAGTTCACTGACCTCCCACGCCATCCCCGCACCCCAGTTCAGTGAACGCCCAGCCCATCCCCGCACCCCAGTTCAGTGACCGCCCACCCCATCCCCGCACCCCAGTTCAGTGACCGCCCAACCCACCCCCGCACCCCGGGTTAATGACCGGCCACCCTCAATTCAGCCGGCGTCCCCATCAGTTGTGACCGTCCCAACCTCCAATTAGAGACCGTCTGGCCCTCACCCCTGGGTTAAGCGGCCGGCTGCCCCCTCTGCATTCCCCAAAGCCCCAGTCGCGTGAGCGTCCACGCCACGTTGACCCCTCCGTGACCGGCCGCCCTGGACAGCGGACCGTGTTGTCGACCTCCCTGTACTCGTGCGTGTGTCTGTGCGTTGTGAGCGTAGGGCTGCGCTCCCCACCCTGTACTGTGGCCAGGCACGTTCTGCGAGCGTCCGTGCACGATGAGGGCCGGTGGCGCCGGCTGGGGGAGCCGACGGCGGCGAGCGGGCCGGGCGGCCGCCGCCAGTGGGGACCGCGCCACCACGGCTGGGGTCCCGGCGGGCTCCACACGCAGATTGGTGTGCCGACAACGGACAGAGAGCGCAGACACCAGACACGACAAATTGGTACCAACGGACACCGCACTGGCCAGAACACACGCCGGCGAGCGGGGGCTCGGTGTCGGATCATAACTGGACACGGCTGCGGACAGCGGGGACCCTTCGCGGGACCGGACAGCGTCTGACGCACGGGAGCGCTGGAGCGGGGCGGCACCCCCCGCGCCGGCCGGCGTACGGGAGCGCTGGAGCGGGGCGGCACCCCCCGCGCCGGGCACAGTCCTCGCCGGCTGACGTCTGACGCACGGGAGCGCTGGAGCAGGGCGGCACCCCCCGCGCCGGACACAGTCCTCGCTGGCTGACGTCTGGGCGCGGTGACGTCAGCCGCGCCCAGGGAGAACGGCCACACCTGTGCGCCGTGCGCGGCCGACCTAGCGGGGCCTGCCACCTGTGGTGGGGTGGCAGACCTGCCATGTGTGCCGAATCAGCTGGTGTCCCGCGCGCAGGGCATTCCGGGCTTTTTGGTGCCTAGGTGCGACCGCCGGCTTTGCGGCGTCGATGATTAATCCCATTTCTTGGAAGCTCATACCTGGCGTGGTCAGGCGCGAGTGAATTCCGCGGTGTAATGCAGCGTGGGCGGCTGCTCTCATCGCACACGCGGACAAATCATGACTGACGGCTCCGTGCCAGGGTTGTCGTGCGGATCACGCGATTAGCCGGATTGGCCGCCACGCTTTGCATCGGAAACTCGCTTTTTGTGCAGCACCACAAAATAATTAAACGCTCGCCATAAACGGAGTGGGCGGAGAAGGGTGATGCCATTGGTGTCGGTGAGGGGCGTGCTGCCGCGGTGTCGCTCGCTGCACGGGGTGGCGGGTGCATCGTATGGCCGTCGCTGGTGGCGGTGCGGCAGTGCCGCCGCGCGCCGCGCCCAGCCTGTGACCACTGTGCGCCCTCTTACAGTCCTGCTCGGACGCTGCCAGTTATGCTAGTCTCCCGTCAGACATGAACCGACAGCGTAGTTTGCCCTTGTTCAAAAGGTACGCCCTGGCCTTGTGTGTGTGTGTGAGCGGTAGCCCTAGCGTCGTTAGCCGCCCGCCGCCGGCAGCTGGGCGGCCACCCCGCCTCTCCTCTGTTTGGTTTGCACGCGCCCGGCCTGCCGTCCGCATCGCCGCCGAGCCGCCGTGGGTCGCCTGTCGGGCGCCGGCGTCCCGTCACGCAGCATCGATCACGGGCCGGCCGGCCGGCGCCGCCACGCGTCCCGTCCGCCGACGCTCACCTCGTTTTTGTGCGCCGTCCGCCGACGGCACGGCGCGGCGCGCCTCGCCTCGCCCCGCCTAGCCTCGCCCCTCACCGCGTCACAAAGCCCGCTGGTCTGAGTTTGCGCCGCCGCTCGCCGGCACCGAGTGAGCACGCCTGTTGGACCGCAGCACCCTGCCTTAGGCACCGCGTGCCCGTGCTCGCCCACGCTCTCACCTCTCACAGTCACTGGCACCTGGCGTGTGTGAGCGCCGCTCGGCTGGCGTGACGCCGATCTCGCCGGACCGCCCGGCCGTAGCTCCCCCCTCCCTCCCCCTCCCCGCTGCCCCCTCGCAGGTGCGTCGCCGCGCCGAGGCGCACCCGGTGAGCCAGATAACGCGCCGCTGGCGGCTCCGGAAGCCCGGAGCGCACGCAGCGCGCTGCGCGTGCCGATAACGGCGCGGCGGTCTGCCGACGGAGGCGGCGCAGCCTTCTTAGAAGCCGACTCTGAGCCGTTTGGTGGACGGGCAATGGCTGGTTTTCTGGATTTCACCACTCGTTTGTTAGTTTTATTGTCAGCTGTATCGCCAGCCTATTGGATCATGGCGTTAATTCAGCCAATGGATGCGCTTTTAGATAATTAACAACCGCCAATAGTATCTATATGTCTCGTAGATCGCTCTAGCCATTTCTCTTCCTGCTTTTTGTCGCAGATGCCGTAGTTCACCTGTTTTACTCACTTTGATTCTCTGCTGGTTATTTTACGTGTATTACCCTTTAAATGCGTGCTGAAGGGGGACACGATGCGGGCTGCTAAATTGGTGGACGTAGCGAACTGAATGTGAATTGCACCTTAAAGCTCTCTGTATGACCCACCTGCCTCATGCGTATCTACTTGAGCGAAACACTGCTCCCCAGCCCCCCCCCCCCCCTCTGTCGGCGACCCCCCCAGCGCTGCCCCGCTCACCGCTGGCTCGCCCCGCCGACAGCAAATGGGGCTCCGAGTCGGCGGCGTCCGGGGCTTCGGCGAGCACGCCGGCGCGGCCGCGGCGGCGCCGCTCGCCGCGCGGCGCCGCCGCCGGCCCGGCCGGGTGGCGCGGCCGCGCCGAGTCGGACGTCACGCCCGCCCGACAGCGCGGCGACTCTGGCGACGAACCGTACGGCGGCACCGATGACGACGAGTCGGTGAGTGGCGGCGCCGCGGCGGACAGCTCCGGCCGCGCTCCGCACCGGCCGGGTTGCCGCCGACCGGCCGGGTGCCGCGCCGATCCGGCCGGGTGCCGCGCCGATCCGGCCGGGTGCCGCGCCGATCCGGCCGGGTGCCGCGCCGATCCGGCCGGGTGCCGCGCCGATCCGGCCGGGTGCCCCTCCGACCGGCCGGGTGCCGCGCCGATCCGGCCGGGTGCCGCGCCGATCCGGCCGGGTGTGCCGCTCCGATCCGGCCGGGTGTCGCGCCGATCCGGCCGGGTGCCGCGCCGATCCGGCCGGGTGCCGCGCCAGTACGGCCGCGCCGCGGTCGGCTCAGCGCCAATGGCGGCCGGACCCCGAGGCTGACTGATAGCGAAGCTGACTGGCCGGAAGATCAGCCCGGCGCCGGACAGCTATCTCCGTGCCTCGGTGGCCGTATCATGCGATCCATTGACTCGCTATGAACTCACCGACCTGGTGGGTTACTGGGCGCCGTGTTCTCCGAGGACCCTATGTCCCGTGGCCTGGTGCTACTTGTGGTACCCCCCGCCTCCCTGCACAACAGGTCGGCCGAGCTGGGCCAAATATGTCGGAGCGGTGGGTAAACCCCTACTACCAAGACCGACATGACCAACCGGACGGCCATCGTGACCTGACCTGACCTGACCTGACCTGACCTGACCTGCGCTGCAGACCACGCCACTGGTGGGAGCGGCCGCCGACGCGGACCGAGCCGGACCACCACGAGCGGCCGGACGAGGCGCGCATTGCGGGAGGCCACGGAGACGGTGCAGTCCAAGATAGCCCGCTGCAAGGAGGCCATCAAGCAGCAGCAGCGAGTCAGGGACGGTAGGCAGACCCCGGCGGCAGCCAGCCGCGCTGATGCAGTGTTCTGTGTGTTGTCGGGGACGGTAGGCAGACCCCGGCGGCAGCCAGCCGCGTTGTTGCAGTACTCTGTGTGTTGTCAGGGACGGTAGGCAGAACCCGGCGGCAGCCAGCCGCGTTGACGCAGTGTTCTGTGTGTTGTCGGGGACGTAGGCAGGACCCCGGCGGCGCCAGCCGCGTCGTTTGGAGGTACTCTGTGTGTTGTCAGGGACAGGTAGGCAGACCCCGGCGGCAGCCAGCCGCGCTGAGCCAGTGCTCTGTGTGTTGTCTTGACCGCGCATGGGGTACACTTGCCTGGAACACAATGCCTGAGTAATACAGATATTGTATGGCAGTGTTGTGAGTAGCGTTGAGCTAGTGCCAACAGGGGCGTGACTGGCTTTCATCTTTGGTTGGCGCAGTCGTCTTGCATTTCACCCTGCGGAACGAAATAGCAGTGTTGCAATGTCTCAAAGATTGCAAACTGAACTGCAACTTGTTGCCGTTTAATGTATCTGGCAAATCTTCTTACGAGATGACTGCGATAACGGCGATGTACCCCCCAGATATGACCCCTGTGGTCTGGTGGCTCGGGTTTCGTAGACTCGCAATCTGCCTGAGGCCCGGCGCTCGTCGTGACCCCACGCCACGGCATGGTTCAGCCGTGTTTCCGTTAACTGCATCGATCGCATTGCTCAGAGTTGAGCGGAAACTGCAACGACGAGCGCAACTTAATGAACTGACCGACGGGCGTTCGTCGGCTGCACTCGCAAAGACGCTGTCGAGCCGCTCCGTTCGCCGTTTATTTCGATCGTCGATCTCGGGCGCGAGCACCGCTAATTGTCTGTCGCTGTGCCTCACCCGCAGACAACGTGAACGAGTACCTGATCCAGACGGCAGCCGTGCAGGACAAGCAGCAGCAGCAGAAGCTGAAGGCCCTTTTCGAGAAGAAGAACCAGAAGGCGGCGCAGCAGATGGCGCACCAGCAGCGCAAGCTGGAAGTGTACACGCGACGCGCCAAGGAGCTGGAGACGTGCGGCCTCTCGCACCGTCAGCCCAAGGAAGTGCTCAAGGACGTGGGTTACGGACTCAGGTCAGTCCGTCGCCGGGCTGGAGGAGGGTCGCTGCAGACCGGCCCGCCAGCACAGCAGACTGACAGGTCGCGCGTGGGAGGGACGGTCAGGTCGGGGACAGGTGGGAGCTGAAGTTGTAGACTTTGGCGGGCTCGGTCTGTCGGGAGGAGAGCGAGTGTTGTTGTGAACGTGGTGCTGAGGTTGGAGAGATTGCCCGCTGTGCCCAGGTCAATCCGTGTTGCTTGGGACGGCGGGGTAAATGGCTCAGTAGTGGAGCTCTTAAACGCCCGACTCTGATGCGACCGCTCCACAGCCAGCACAAGTTCGTTTCATGCGCCAGATGATGGTGTTCGCTTCAACAATGCAACCGAAATGCGACCGAGCCAATGTCGATTCGGTAGTTTGCGATTGGTCAGCCTGGTAGCGTCGCAGCCTCTCAGGCTTCCATTGAAAATACTCGGCGTCGTCTCTCCTGGTCAGTCGTGTGGCCGTCCTCGCGTCTGCGCTACTGACCACTCCCGCCTTCCGTTGGCCGTTGACGGTTGTGCCCCGCCCGTCGTCGCCCTTCTGACGGGCGGAGCGTGCCCTGCCCGCCGTGATGGGCCATGACCGCCGTCGCCCCTCTAAGGGGCGCAGCGTGCCCTGCCCGCCGCGGTCGGCCCTGCCCACCGCCACCCCTCTGACGGGC